GCGCGGCGCTCTGATGCGACCAACGTGGCTTGCCGCCATTCATCGCGAGCGTCTGGAGCCGCGTGTCGAGGCGCTGGTTCTCGTGCAGCAGAATGGTTACGGTCTGGTGCAGCGACAGAGGATTGTAGGGTCCCTTGCCGGGGGCGACTGTGCCCGCTTCCCTCGTTGATGATTCACCGGCCATCGATGGGGTGGTTACAGAAGCGCTGATTCGAAGAGCATTCCATCGTTCCTGCTCATAGCGCTGTAGGATCTCGCAAATGTAGACTTCGAATGTAGCTGCAGCGATGTCGTAGGCAGTCTCTCCGGCATGGTTTCTAGCGAACGGATCGACCCCTTGCTTGGCTGTGAGATAGCGAACAATGGGAAGATGTCCTTTAGACGCGGCATTCATCAATGGTGTCCAACCTCCGCGACGAGCGTGTTGTGATGGGTTCACACTGTCACCTCCCTGCTCAAGGAGGAGCTTGACGAGGTCGAGATAGCCTTGCGAACATGCATTGTGCAATGGCGTCCACCCATCTGCGTCCTCTGCCCTTGCATCGGCACCTTTCTCGAGCAGGTACTTCATCGCGCCAAGCTTGCCTTTGAGCGCGACTTTATGCAGTGCCGTCTCGCCCTCGCGGTCCTCCAGATCGACCAGCGCGCCGGCATCTTCGACGAGCCAGCGTAGAATGTCGACCTTGCCCTCTCGCGCAGCGTAGTGCACCGGTGCAAGGCCGGTCATGGGCGACGTCTCATTGGCCAGCGCGAACCGGCTCACATTCGAGCCGGCCGGTGCAGGCGCACAAGTCACCTCGAAAAACGACTGCAGCGCAGAGAGAGGGCCTTGCGAGCTGAGGGGTGCCAAGCGCTGGAAGTCGATTGGGCGAGGCGTAGCCGTCCGCGCAGGGGGGGAGGCTGGCCTGTCTGGCTCTGGAACCGCGGCTATAGGCGTCAAGACTTCTTCTGTGGCGCGTGCACCAGAATCAGCAGCAATTGACAACTCTTCGAGAGGAGAGGCAGTGATGCTCTCCTGCGTAGAGCTCTCAGCGCCGGGGTAAACGAATGCGTCCTCCTCGTCGTCATCGTCATCGTCATCGTCGACCCCGCCTTCAATGTTGTCCAAGTTTCGAGTATCCTGCTGCTTTGCCGTACTTATATGCGCCTTTGCATGTCCATTTGGCAGTTGCCCTGACCCCGACTCCTTCGCCTCGTGATCTTCTTCGGCCTCTGGCCCGAGCGCCGGACCCTCATTCGCTTGAACATTGCCATTCAATTCTTCGGTTGAGGACGCAGCAGCTGCGCCGCAGGTGACTCTGCCCTCGTGTTGTTTTTCTCCCTGCGCTAGCTCGGGCTGCAGCGACTCGGCTGCTTGTGCGGGGTCATAATTCGACCATGGGTCATCGGAAGCACTGGCCAGATGTTGATCAAGGTCAGCTGGGCGTAGCTTCACTCTTCGTGCTCACACTCGAAGCACTCACGCAAACGTGGATGACATGGGGGATGACAATTATGAATGGCAGGGTGCGAGTCATAAAACCTTCAGGCAGTGCGTACAATGCAGCAATTGAACAAGGCGGAGCGTCGATGCTTCGCTGCCAGGGGTAATAGGACGCACGAGCTGACTTCGAACCCGAGTCCGAAATGAGTGAGCTGCCTGTTGACCACGTAGCCACCAAGAGGTACGAACTGCTGGCGGCTAATGCCTCGATAGAGAAGTCGTCGCCGTCGTCGTCGTCGTCGTCAGGAGCTTGTCGCTTCCGCAGGCGATGGAGGCGAAGGGGAAGAGGATAGGTGAGATACATAGAACGACTTGGTCTTCGCTTGCTGTGTGATATGGACTACAGGAAAGGGTGCAGCAACCCTATTATTTCAACCCGCGCCCGCCTGCACAAGGGTGGGTTGCAGTTGAATGAAGCAAGCAGACTTGAGGTGGCATAGCTGGAACATGCGACCTGCGTCTCAACGGACATTCTTCATTTGGTGTAGAGTGTTATGCTACAGTCTGTAGTGAATGACACATGATATACCTCGTCCTCACTGTGTCATTGGTAGTGTTGAGTGCGGCTATGCACACGCAGACCGTTTGCAATGTCGTTTGCAGTTTCGTACTTGAACGCGAGGATGAAGGCGACTTCTATCAAGTAAATGCCGCACACATGACGCTAAGCACCACAAGTGGCTTGAGCACGTTCCATCAGTGTCCGAAGTACATAACCTGGGATCAGGTCACGAGGTTGTGAAGTGTCAGGATCTGCGGCTAGGCCCGAAGCGCAATGATCCGCCGGCTGAGAACGGCATGAATGCCAAGTGGCACGCTTGCAGCTGCCCAGAGCAGCATCATGCTCGGCTGCAGCTCCGTTGTGTGAGAAGCCCGCCTGTAGGTGAAACATACCTGCGGCAAAAGTTGGAGCGATCAAAACACGGCGCTCTCGGCGCCGAGTATGTTGACATGTTTGTTGTAGCCAAGCATAATTACTCCGAAGGGCGCTTGCTTCTACCGAGGTCTGACTCGCGGAGCATGGCGACGCTCAAGTAGTATGGGCACCGATGGGGAGACTAATTCCCCCATTCACCGCTGTCGCCGTCGCATCATATCTGAGGGAAATCAGCCTCTTGAACGTAGGCGTCGGAGAAGGATGGAGGACATTCCATTTAGCCTGTAGCTTCGTCGACTGGGGTCAGACAAATGGCAATGATGCTCGGTCCTACAACAGATTCGAACATACGTCAAAACAAAAATTGAGCAGCCACCTCACCTCATTATTGAGGGAGAGTGTAGAATTTGAACGAACCCTTTATAGTCTGTACTCACCACTTCTTCTCGCTTAACTACAAGGTCATTAATGCTAACAGCATGCTTGGGATATGCTCGCTACAGAGTACATATTGGATCCCATTCCTTTGCGACTACGAGCGGTTCTCGAAAGGTATAACAGGATCGCTTACCAGGTGCACGAGTTCAGCGTATTTCGAATCGGCCTTCGAGGCGCGCAGATCTGTGCGAGGACGCGCGAGCAAGATGGGGGTCCGGTCTCCTTCGCCTCTCCAGGCCCTCCTAGGGTTCCTGGCAGCGGTGCTGCTCGTGCTCTCTGCCACGCCCTCAGCTCTTGCAATATCGAGCAAAGAGGCCGATGTAATCGACTACTTTATCGAAAATATCGGCGTACCACGTGTCAATTCGCTGCCCCACTTCGCACCCTTCGCCCATTCCAGCTCCTTCTCGGCTTTCGCAGAGCCGCTGGCTGGCGAAGAGAATACCGTCGGCAAGGACAAACTCAAGAGACTTTCTTCAAGCACTTCTGCAGCGCAGTATATCACGCCACGCTTCCACCGCATCCTCAACCCAAAGACGCACAGACCCGGGGACAAGACGCAAACTGCGGTGTATACTGCGACAGAGAGCAATGTCATTGCTGCACTGAACCCCAGGCAAGGAGCTATCGGTGAGGTCATGCCCGAACATATGTCAGACTGTATAAGATGGGCGTATTGACTCTTAACGACCTGTCTTAGTCTGGCGTCAGGTTTTCGAGGAGGACGATGAAATCCAAGCCTTCTACACTGCAGCAGATGGTGAGAGCTCGCCTTGCTTGCCTTCCTACCTGCCCCGCTGATACCTTGTAAATGTATGTCATACACAGCTGTTCTCGTGATCTCTGGCCCTGGAGGCTGCAATTACCGCCTCTTTCATGCTCTGACGGGCTGGCTAATCTGGGAGCACCACACCCATGTACCCACAGCACGCCTGCTTCCGGAGCCAGGCTTTCCAGGCGTTGACGCGAGCTTCATTACCGCAGGCGACGCCGGGGGCGACGTAGCAGTTCTGGCAAATGCCGAGGTTGTCAAGCGTCTCGATGGGCAGACGGGCCGCGCGGTGTGGGTTTGGAGCCTGCCCGAGCAGGCGGGCGATAACGCTGCATCGCGTGTCATCATTCGCGTGCTTGCGACTTCCGAGCGTATCCATGCAGTCTCGCTGGCCAAATCGAGTGGCCTCATCAGTGACTCGAGCTACTCGATTTCGGTCCACACGCTTGCTCATAACGGTACGCTCATTTCCACGCGGGACATTCCTGGGTCTTCGGTCCCCAATGGCGCCAAAGAGGTCGCGCTCGTATCTCCGGGCGGCGTCCCACATGTCGTTTGGAAGGGTAGAGACGGTGGGATCAAGAGCTCTCCACTTTATGCTTCAGGAGAGAGCAAGCTCCCGGCATCCCAAAGTATTTACCCTGCTAATGCAGACACCAGGTACGCGCGCTTGCAGGAACTCGGTGTCGCTGGCTTTGAGCGCGGCCTCATCGCAGCTCAGCGCGAAGACGGGAAGGGAGAGGTGCTGCGCGTCTCTCCGACGGGACAGCTGCAGATGGCGATCGAGTCCGAAGAGGTCGCACACGACGCCGTCTACTCAGGCTGCTTTGACAAGCAAGGCAATGCCTACGTCAATCGGGTCTTCTTCGGTCGTTCGCAGCACCTTCTCAATTTTCACACGTTCTGGGCGGACGCCAACGACGGCAAAGGCCAGATCACCGGATACAGTTTCCAGTATGACCATGATCTCAATGGCGCCGTCCTCGCTGCACCTTTCGAGGTCAGCCCTGTGAATCAGTACCAGCTCGTAACCCGCAGCGTATTTGTCACCAGCAGCGGAAGCATGCGCATGATCCAAGAGGACAAGTACATGTGGATCCGCGAGGAGGGTCTAACAGAGACGACTCATTCCGTCATTGTCGAGCTTCCCGAAAAGAAGATCGGAAATGCAGAGGTGCTCGCGGCGCTGCAGGGTGAAGGATTCGTCAAACGCATTGCCCGGCACGCTGCCAGTCTGCAAAGCTTGCCTGCTTACCTGATCAACTTCGGCAAGCGCTTCACCGCTCTCGATGGTGAACAGGGATCTGCCTTCAAGGGCCCAGCGGGGGCACCGGCGACGCTTCGTGCACCGGAGTCGACGACATCGAGCCTGCCGAAGCGTAAAACTGCCGAGGCTGCCATCCCTGCGAATGCGAAGCGTATTCCGAGCAAGAGCGGGGCTTCGGACGCTAAACATGCTGAGGAGTATGCACCAAGTTTGGCACCTCGCTTTGCAGATGCAAACACGACTGCGAGCTTGCACCGCGATCTCTTTGGGTTCCGCAAGGTTATCGTCCACGTCACCAAGCGCGGTAAGGTGTACGCCATGGATGCCGGCAGAAAAGGCCAGTTTATCTGGGAGAAGAGCTTAGTAGGATACGGATCCGGTGAAGGCGAGGCAGAGCCGAAGATCAAAATCCTCTCGGTCTTTCAAAGTCGAGGCTTTTTAGGTGCTGAGTTCGGCCCGCTCGTCACGATAGTCGCCGATATCCAATCGGAAGATGACGCGCCGGTTTTAACGCGCGTCTTCGAATTTGATCCCATCTCAGGTAAATTTGAAAACAATGTTCAGGAGGGATATCCAATCGCCTTGGGGCCTGCCAAGGATGCGTTTGCTCTACCTGATGCCGGCGTCGGAGCTGCAGCTGGCCGCAGGCTTGTGGGCGTGTTCAATTCGCACGACACGCTGCTCGTGCATCCATTGGCCCACGCGGCAGCCGTCACTTCGGCACTGAATGGCAAATTCTACCTCGGGATTGCCACGGCTGGCGCAACGGCACTACAAGGCTATGCGATCGGTGCGGAGGGAGCGTCGGTGCCGACTTGGCGCATATCATTTGCGCCAGGAGAGTCGATCGCAGAGATCATTTCGGCCTCGACCGATGCCATTTCCAGCCAGGGCAAGGTTCTCGGTAATAGGGACACGCTCTACAAGTACCTCAACCCGCATGCGCACCTCATCATTACAACCAATGCGCTGACCGCTGCGGCGAGTGCCTATTTAGTCGACTACGTCACCGGAGCTGTTGTCTTTGAGACCGAGCTGGTGAACATTGATCTTGCGCACGGTGTTCAGGTGGCCTTCACAGAGAATTGGATAGTGCTTGCATACACCACCGTTGAGGCTGAAGAAGGACAGATCACACGACTCGTCTCGGTCGAGCTGTACGACGGGGGTGTTGGTGACCAGACGTGGAACTGGACTGGCAATTTTACCAGTTTCTGGAGCTCCAACCAGGAAAAGCGCGAAGGAGTCCAGGTATTCCAGCAGACCTACAATTTTCCACGCGTGATCCAAGCGCTCAGCACGACTGCGACCAAGTTTGGCATCAGCATCAAAACACTGATCGTTGCTACCGAAGACGGCCACGTCTTTAGCATTCCCCGCCGCTTGCTCGACCCACGAAGACCAGTCGGGCGCAAGGTGACACAGCAAGAGGCAGAAGAGTGGCTCATCATGTACGATCCTGCAGTTCCGGACCAACCCAAGTGGACTATCTCACACGTACACACCGTCAAGAAGGCCAGGCGGATCATCACTAGCCCTGCGCTGCTCGAAAGCACGAGCCTGGTCCTTGTCACCGGGTTGGACACATTTTTCACAAGAGTCGCGCCCAGCAGCACCTTTGACATTCTATCTAGTGAGTGCTTTACGCATGCTGTACTTGTTGGGTGTATGACACTGACGCCAGCTATCTTTTGTCAGGCTCGTTCAACAAGCCGCAGCTGCTTTTAACTATCGCAGGGCTGAGCTTGGGTATCATCCTCACCAAAGGCCCGGTCCGAAGCCGCGCGCTCAAGATGCGCTGGTGAAGAATGTACATCGTCAGGGGTGAATCTTTCGCAATGATATACGAGTACAGCCTTGGTCCACCTGTTATGATAACCTGTGGCCTCGCTCAAGCGGAAAGTGCTCCACCAGGTGAAGATAGTTGCCGCCTCAACTTTGATGACTGTCGTTTGCAGGTACAGCCCCGTCATCCAGTAAGCTGAGCATGGGAAGGCGATGAAGCTGGTGCCGAAATTGAAGCGCTGCAGCTCGACCCGCGAGGCGATCCTCATTCGCGAGTTACCCGCTGCTAACTTCTGCAGGATGTAGCAGACGGCGCCGAGGAAATCTATAACGCCGCCCAAGGCGAGCAGCGTGAGATTGACGATAGAGGCGAACTCATCGGCCAAAGCGCACAGTGTGACACCAGTTTCACCCCAGGAGCTAAGCATGGGAGAGCGATGAAGCTCAGGCGAGAAGAGTGGAACCAATTGCACTCCCTCTGACGTCCCGCTCTTCCTGCTTAATCACATCGCAGAAGTATGGGAACGCACGGCGCAATGCTCAATACTGACGTCTTCTAAGTAGTTGCTACTCTGTTTAGGAGTTGCACCCAGCGCTACCTTGGCGGAAGAAATGAGGCGATGGAAGATTAGGAACCACGAAAGGCCAGAGTAGCGTAGATAATGTGTGAACGCTGCGTTCACCGCTCTCACGAAAGCTTATCCTATACGATGAGATGAGATTCACCAAGCTTACGTCCGCTTCATAGTTTGCCATCCTATAAAGTGCATGTCTTTGCTTCCATCGAACGCGCATATCTTCCTGGGGCGTTTGGAGTTGGCGTTGTTGAGGCCGTGCTGATCAGGCAATGGTCGGGTGCTGCCGACGGCGTGTAGCAGGATCAACTCTGACGTGGCTTTGAACTTGCACACCATTTGGGTTCGAGAAGTGCTGCTGCCGCCGCTACCGCCGCCACCGTCGTAGTAGCAGCAGAAACTGCTGCATCATGGATTCTCAACATGGCCAATGGCCAAGTGAGGGCTCGGACGTGGCCCGCCTGCAGTCCCTGCTGTCTGCTCGCGGGTTGTCGGCTGCGGTGCAGCCGGACGCAGAGGCGCTGCAGACGATGCTTGCAGTCGCCGGCGATCCGCTGGAGGCCGCAAAGCTCATATTTGAGAGCTTTGGCGCCGAGCGGAGGATTAGCGGGGAGGCTTTGATCCACGCATCACCTTCTAGGCGGCAACTGCTCGAGGTGGATGACTCCGACGTCACACAGCCTTTCCCTTCACCGCTTGGAATCGGGCTTGCATCACGTCAATCCCGGTCACTCCATCGACCAGGCGTGCCTCAAGAGAGCAACCTCTCCGTTTTTTCGACCGTATTTTCGGCACTTGCCCTTCCCTTCACGCTCCTACGACACCTCTTAGTATTCATCGCAAGGTTCATGCCTCTGCGAGCGTTCCTGCCTCCTGTACTTTTTGGAGAAGCGGAAGGTGGTGTGGAACGACAGCAGCAAAGAGGCAGAGTATGGAAGGACACTGATCCTATCAAAGCAGCCGAGCGGTATCGCCTTGGCCTGGAGCATTTTGTGGCAGCGCAGTCAAATTCGCAGCACGAAGCAGACGGCGACGCACACGCGCTGGCAGACAAGACTAGGCGTCGAGCAAAGGAGGAGAGACTGCGTCACCGAGTCGAGCAGCCAATAGCTTCGTCTTCCACAACACCCGTCTACCCCCCATCTCGCATAGCAGCGTCCGATATTCAGCTTCGCATTCCAACAAACCTGCTGACAACGTCTTATAATCAGGCCATTCAACAAGCCAAAGACGAGCACAAGATCCTGGTGATCGTCCTCGAGAGCCTCGAGCACCAACACTGCGAGCAGTTCCGCCGTGAGGTACTACTTAACGAGAAATTCGTCAACGTGATCAGTCGGCGAGACTTTCTCGTCTGGGGTGGAGACATCGGCGAGAGGGACGCATACCAAGGTTCGTGTTCGTGTGTTGGCAAATGTGAAATCATTACCGCTGACTGGAATGACACTTTTTTCCCATATCGCCAGTGTCAAATCTACTTCAAGCGTACACGTATCCCTTTGTCGCATTTGCCTCTTTACAGCCATCACGCAACCGCACCGTAGGACTCAGCTCCTCCAGTCGCCCTCCACGCATGGCGATTCTCTCCCGGCAAGAGGGCTCTCCATCAAATATGACCTCTGCCGCAAGACTGACAGATCACATCCAGGATCTATTGCTTCCGCGTGTGTTGCCTTACTTGCAACGTCTGCAGCGAGATAAAGACAGGCGCCAGCGCGAACGTGAGCTGCGGGAAGAGCAGGATCGAGCATATCAACGCGCTGCTGCTGCAGATGCGGAACGGGTGAGACAGGCGCGAGAAAATGAGCGACGGAAGCGCGAGGCCGTGAAGCAGAAAGAGCAAGAACTGAGGCGGGAGGAGGAAACGAAGATAAAGTACGGGGTCTGGAGACGGTGGGCAAGGCGCTACCTTGTACCCATTGACGCCGGCGGTGACGCATCAGATTGCATCAAATTCGCACTGCGATTGCCGACGGGCGAGCGCCTCGAACGCCACTTCGCAACAAGGGCTCCGGTTGAAGCCCTATTTGCGTATGTAGAGTCCGCCACGCAGTCCGCTGAAGAGGAGGATGAAGACGATGTACCCCTTGCTCCGCCTGCGGACTACACACATTCCTACCGCTTTGCGTTCGTCAGCGGCTATCCTCGGGCCAAAATCGAGCCAGAGACTTCCATCGGCAAGAGGCTTTATGAGGTCGATGCACTCAAGAATGGCGGCGCATTCATTGTGGAGGGTCAGATCGGATTCTCGCGAATCAAAACAATTGACACCACGGATGAAGATACCGAAGGGCAGGAATAGATTGTATTCCAGTGACAACAACATGCGTTTGTCCTGGTTCCTTTAGGTCGCAGCTGCATTTCTGCTGTGCTTTTTGATACACGCCCAGCATGCAGCACGCTTGGTATCTCAACGCTTCCACAATTTCCCAAAACAGTCTTGCATGTCCGAAACGAAGCGCACGGGTTTCTCCATGGCAAAAAAATGCCCGCCATCTGGATGCTCTCTGTGCCATTTCAAGTTGCAAGTCGACGCCACCCATTCTTTTGGAGTAGGGATTAACTGTAACGAAGAGGATCAATTGTTTGAAATGCACACTAAGCAGACGTTGATCCTTACTCACTTCGTAAGGAGAGTTGCTGTAGCCAGTTGGAGCCTTGATAAAGTTTTCCGGCCTCGAGATGGCAGCGGAAACACCAGTTGCAGGACGGTTTCTGTAGGGATACAAGGAGCGGGCCATCGTGCCAGTGCACCACCAGAGTGTCAAAGATGCAAGGATCTCAGCGTCTTCGGGGCTGTGCGTATACGATCTTTCAGTCAGCATTCTCGTCGAACCAGAATAAGTCAGCAGAGGAGACTCACTCTTCATCCGTCCATGCAAGGAACTTTTCGCCGATCCAAGCAAGCAATGCCAGAGGGCTGTGTTGCATGACCAGCCCAAGCGTAGCTGGCCTCGTGGAATGAAATTGAGCGTACGCACTTCCGTTACTCTGGAACTCAATCGCCCGCCGAATTCCATTTTTTTCGTTCTCACTGAGCGGCGATGGAAAGCCGAGCACAAAGTGCAACAAACGGTGTGCTGCAGCCCCGAAGGGGCCCAGCGGTGCCGACAATAAGTACCACCTTCGCGGAACAGAACTTGGGAGGTTCGAAATGGCGTCTGAGATGAAAGAGGGGACAGAAAGTTTGCTTGCGAGACGGATGGGTATGATTGGCTTGAGTGAGGGTGGCGGTGCAGGACCTGTCGGAGTCAATTCACAACTCACCATTCAGCAAGCGATATGAAGTGGTTTGCTCGTTCAGGACGGCTCACAGTAGTTGAGATGCACAGCTTTGCAACGCTGGGGAAAGAGGACAGCGATCTGCCTTGCGACCATCGAGCCCCAATCGCCAGCCTGAACGACGTAGCCGGTCGTCGCGTAGCCGATACTGCACATCAGCTTGTCCATCAGCCTGGCAACGTCCTTTATGAGCAGATCGCCGTCAGGACCTGAGTGATTTCCCTGCACTCGGCCGCATATTTTGGACTCGTGGGATTGAATGTAAGAGGAGAAAAGATAGCCAGGATGTGATGGAGCGACAACGTCGAACGCTGGGACCGTTAGCGGAGCCGTGGCACCTGGATGCGCAAGAGGTTTGATGACCTTGGAAAATTCCATCAAGTGGCCTGGCCATCCATGAAGGAGCAAGAGTGGCTGTTGTTTCACGGTCAGAATCTGAACGGATGGAGAGCGTTCGGCGCGACCGATGCGACTCACAATCACGGGACGGCCAGAGGCCTCTGCGACTGCATCGGCTCGCTCGCGTATAAAGTGGAGACTAACATCTTCCACTTGCAGCGTATAGTGTTGGAAGCTTCGCAGGTAACCCTGGTATCCTCTGGATTTAAGTCAAGGAAGACGCCGTCAGTATGTGTATTGGTAAAACCCTTGGCCCAATCCCACGGTGATTTGCCAGTGCTCACGCCCAGGTATCATCCTCAAACCCGCCCTCGCCCGGTTCGGAGAGATAGCTTATCCAGGCGTTGTGAAGGTGGTGGAAGCGCTCGTGCGTCAGGCCGAAGCGCTGCTTGCTACCTTCAAAAGGAGCATTTGGAAATACATCCGCCAAGCTTGCTTCGAGCTTCTTGCGCAATGAGTCGATCTTGTCGTTCGGTACTACTGGGTCGAAACGGTGGGGAACCGCGCTTTCATGGTGCACTTAAATCGGATCAATTGTTTTCAATTTCAGAGGCTCGCCGTGGGAACGGCTCATGCATGTCTCGAGGGAGAGGGGGTTCACGAAGAACGATCAATGTCTCTTCAGCAAGGTGTGTTGCAACGAGATAACTCGAGGAAGGTGTTAGCTGCATAGATGGGTGAAAGTTGTCACAAACAAGTTGTCTTTATGGGCGGGTTGTGGCGCCTGCGCGTAGCTACATGGTTATGACGTTCATGATCCACCGCAACCGTCTACGCTGCCACCTGCGTTTTTCACCTGCTACCGAAGAACAGACGACATGATGGCGTTTGGCCCATCAGGGTCAACCGTTGCATCCTCACTGGAATAGCACCATTGTGAGTTCGCAGACGAGGCTCGACGCCGAAAAATTGCCTCGAATTGAGATGTGGAACGGACTAGGCGGGAGATGGGTGATGCAAGCAGCAATGAGCGGCAGCAAATTTGTAGTAGGAGTTCCACATGCATTGATCCTATATACGTTAGACGCGTCAAGCTGGCAATGCTGGTTGCGCTACAAGCTTGCAAATGCAGATGCACAGTATCGTGCCCGTGTGAGTTATGTCATAGGCAATGCTTTCGCATAACGCGTTCGACCGATATCTATGACTTCCTTTTGTAGCGCGCTTGGTATGCGATATTGAGCATCTCACTTTCAAGCTGGGACATTCAAAAGGTTGACGTGGACTGGACAGATAAGCAAGAGTAAATATTATCTCTCGTTTGGACGCTAGAAGAGACTTGCTCGTAAGATAGGAGCTCGCCAAGGTGCCTAAGGCGAAGCAGGTGATACTGCCAACTCTCGCAGAAACCCTTGTGCATGCCCTGATCAGGAATCCCGTGTGCGCCCCAGTATTGCGTCCCGACAGCAGAGCTTTGCTGCCAGTAGGGTCAGCAGCAGGGTTATGAGTACGCACAACAGCGAAAGGGCCTAATGAGGAGCTCTTTCTGATAACGTCATTCCTGTCTTCCTCTCAAGGTCTCTGACTGCGGTTTCGTATTCGTCTTCGAAAGTTTGCTGTAACTTCGTCTTCCATTCAATCATCTGTTGCATTCGTATTGAAATAATGTTTGTATCCAGTCCCTACCCGAATCACATTTCTTTCACCCTCTCAGGCCGCATTAACCCCCTAACCTGTGAGCCACTGGCTTCACCATTTGAAGCAATCTAAGGCACCCAAAAGTGGTTCGCGGTCTTTGCTAGTTCCAATTTGGAACCTATTTTTGGCCGGATAGCAAAAGTCGGCCATCTTAAGCGTCAGGATTCATCAATATTGTTTTATTCGAAGTCCCATGAAGCGTGTGCGCATAGCATCCGCCAGCATCTCAAATGGTGCTTTGGAAAGAGGTCCACCTCAGTGAGTTGAGCAAGGACCCATGCTCGCTGCTCGCTGCTCAAGCGCACTCGCTCTCTTTCATCCGCATCATTCGGCAGACTCTAACCTTCGATCACGAACCTTCTCAAGGATACAGTCGACATGTTCGCTGAACGGAGGGAGGTCGCGTCCTTGGACGCATCACCCAGGTAGAACAAGTGCGGATACCCGAAAGCCCATTCGCGGACCATGAACCCATGTACGAGGTCATGAGCAATCCTTCCTCCTTCAATTCTGAATCCCGCGTCCCCCGCAATCCACTGAATTTCTACCGGTGCTCAGCCTGGATAGATAGGCCGACACCTTCGCTGCTTTTGCACGTGTGGTATGTAAGAACTACTCTCCATTATCGACCGGGATCCTTCCACGATTTAACGAGAAGGCAGCTGCTGTCATGGAGCCAAGACTGCAAGAATTTTGGCGGCTCCTTGTGAATAATCACAGCATTCGCGCGGGAACCGACGAGACATAAGTACATGTCGGCATACTTTGCCGACGAGGTGGCCGACGCTGATGCCGTCTTGGCCCAATAGGTTCGACTCGCCATTGTGATCGCATGAGCGGCCTGACGAAGGGCTGCTCACCGTGCATATCCCCCGGCGGGTCGCCGTCTTTAGACCTGATTCTTGTAGAAGGGACGGGGCGTCTCTTATATGATGCGGATTGTGACTACTTGCAGCGGCGTAAAGCAATTGCTGACCACTTATTCGCTCACTTTTGTGCAATTTCAATTCTGTAGAAGATGCATAGGCCTGCGGAGAGTCAAGCTATGAGCCGTCAGTGTCAGGATAGCGAGCGAAGATCTGTGAACAGTTCCGCAGTCAGAACACGGTCACTACTACCGTCGACACTACCATTTAGCTTTTGCATTTTTCCTTATCATCATTCTGTGTGTCTTGCGAGACTTCAGTGGACTAAGGACATCTGTTGTTTCCCACACCTCATTTCCAACTCGTTAATGCAAACCCAGGAGTATTCAATGCTCTGGCCCAATAGAAATCGGCGCAATTGGATTTGGAACTAAGTTCGATCTAGGCTGCAATGTGATAAACAAAATGTACGAAGCGTCAAAACAGGTGCGCGTCAAAAATGCACGAACGTTGCACGCCACATGTGGATCTCTTCGTGGATAAGGTTTGGTCCTTGTTACTGTGAGGCACTGGGATACTGTGGGTGTGCCCCCGGGTGTGAATCTGCATGATATGTATTTCCCGCTGGAGTTTTCATATCTCCAAGGGTTTGAGTTCGAACAGTCGGTGCATTAGCGTGATTTGAGCTCTGAGATCGGCACCTACGAGGGCGGCCGATATGGACCGTGCTGCGCTTCCCTTGCCCCGTTCTAGTATGGACCACACCCGCTCCTAGGGCGAGTGTGTTCCATGATGGGATACACCTAAATAGCTCCCTCTTTCTATTTCTTGCTTCCTCTTCCTCTTCTTTCCTCAGGTTGATCCTCACCCACATCACCCGCCCAACGAACTTCTCTTCACGGTACACTCGCTGGTCGAGTCGTCCATCCGCCTCCCGACGAGCGCAACCGTCACAATGAAGCACTCCCTCATTGCTACCATTGCCATCGCGCTCATCGCTGCCTCAGCCACGTCGTTGGCCGCGCCCGTGCCGGTGCCCGAGGGCATCAGTCGCCGCGCGCCGG